ATCAGTTTTCTGAAGTGTCTCAGTTTTCTGAAATGTGGGCCAATAGATACCTGCAGGTCAAACAACTCTGACAGAAATATATACTGTTTAGAGGTTTCCCCTTTGTTACACTCCTCATTACTGTGAGACATGCAAGGTGGGAGTTCCCCACTGAATATGTTCAAAAGCACAGGTTCTAAATAAAAAATTACATCTGCAGCAGGAGAGTCAGTGTTTTTTCATCACTGGATGCTGATATCCCATCCGAACCTGCCCGTCTCCTTAAAGGACCCTTGAGGAGATGAAGGTGTTCCGTGATACATTTTTTTTGGCAGGCTTGTAATGTATTATTTATCAATGTAGCTTCTTCCAAGTATTAATAATATATGTTCTTCCACTTTTGCTGTAGAAATCTTTTTCTTTTTTTTAACTTAACTAAGTTCAGAAAACATTTAGACTTTATTCGGTGTTAGTTAATATCTTCTTATTTGATAAGGTAACCTACAACATGGCATCTTTGGTATAATCCCTGTGGTCCTGACTACGTTATGCAAAAACATTTACCCTGCAGCAGTTAGTGTTAAAAGGCCTTCAGTCCCTCTTCTCAGTCTGTACTTGGACTTCCTGGCTCTGTTGACCAATAAGGAATAATGTGATATTGGAGGTCTCAGCTTCAGTCTGTACTTGGACTTCTTGGCTCTGTTGACCAACAAGGAATAATGTGATATTGGAGGTCTCAGCTCCCAGCAACAGTGAGAGCTCTTTAGGTCTTGCCAGGCCTGAACTTGGCACCTACCTGGACCTGATTTTAAAGACTTATTTTTCACATAAACTAAAATTCTGCTCAAGTATCCTTTTAGCTGTGGTAGTCAAGCAAATGCCAAACCCAATTTCCTGGAAGGTAGCTACTCTGAATCACTGCAATGTTTTCAAAGAGCAAAACCGAAAAGTACAGTTAATATATTAGAAATGTAATTCATACTCAACTATTTTTCTATTACTTATTTTTGTTTAGCTGTAATTAGCTTTGTGTCTCTGTGAATTTCAGGCATGCTATACATCCTCTCACATAATGCTTAACCAATGGGACTGGCTAAGTAAATCCCCACTGATCAGGATTTTTGCTTTTACTATTTTGATTAAGCAGAAGTCCTTAATTTGCAAGAATATAAATATGTTGTCTGCAACACATCCCCCCAAAAAAAGAACATTTCAGGTAACTCTCTGCCTTGATCAAGCTTGTTTCAATACACTGCAGTCCCCACACTGACATCTTAGCTTGTAAGCCATGCTAAATATTTGTTATTTTCAATATCAACACAAACCTCCACAATTATTCTCTTCTGTTTTGTTGAGTGTCACTGCCATTATTTGGCTCCTGTGACATTTGATATAATAAAAAGAAAAGGTTTTCAAAGTACAGGACGAGCTTGGTCTCTTGTGATTTTCTTTTATTTTTGCTCCTTCATAGCAACAATTGGGCAAAGACGTCATAACTACAGTGCATGCATTAGATAAAACCTTAAGGCTATCTTCTTCAAAGAAGATGATATATTCCATGGTTTCTCTGTGTCATGAAAACTGACTGACATTAAGTGAGACTTGTGTATTTTTTGCAACACCACACTAGAGGAAAGCATACAGTAAAACAGAAAAATACTTTTGCCCCTGACAGCAAAGAAAATAAAATATACAAATGAAAATCAGACTTTGGATAGAGTACCAAGCCCAAGGAACTTGCCAACACACTTAGTTTTTCAATTTCTAGGCAGTTACATTATTTCCTCTTGCACCTGTGGTACCCTTCCAGCACCAAGGGTTCCAGCTGAAAGGAAGGGACAGACTACAGTAGTGGGTGGTTTAACAAGCACAGGGGATGAGGACAGTGGGAATGTTGGTTCAAAGAGACCTTCTGGGATGATTTGCTTATTGACCAGATCTGTAGCATCACACAAGTGTTTTGACAAGAGGGCAGGAAACACAAGGAGGTGCCAGAGGCTGTAGTCCATGTGAGCTCTGACAAAAGAAGATAAGACTAGACGGAGGTCTTAGGGGTGAAATTTAGGCTGGCAAGTGAAAGCTGAAGTTAAGGACATTCATAGTTGGATAGTCTGAAATTGTCTCACTGTAAAATCAGGGAGAGAAAGATGGGAAGACAAAAGCTTAAATGCTTGTCTGAGAAAAAGGTGTAAGTAGAAGGGTTTCACATTATTGGAAAGTAGGGGCACTTGCTAACAAGTGGGTGCCCATAGAGAAGATGCAAAATTTGTTTTGTCCACAGGAAAAACAGGCTTCAGAAAGTTCAAGAACTTTCCTAAGACCATTGTGATTCTAGCTGAAAAGTTCAGGAAAATTTGCAGGGGTTGGAAAGCACACAATTCAAAAAATGCAAAAGTATGCAGTTCACATAAAGGGCACAGTCACCAGAATTCTGCATTCCTCACTGAAGAATGCTACAAAAGGTGACGGTAGAAAATGCAGAAATGGTAGCACACACAGAGTCAAACTAGGGTCCAGCAGAGATGAGAAAGAAAGCCACAAAATAAAGCCAAGGGTTAAAATGGGATCTAGTATGTGTAGTTTTGATGCCTAATGCTAAACAAGAATATCAGCATAATAGGCGTGTTTGAAATCTGTGGGAAAGAAGAACATCAAAGCACTGCAGTACCAAGGATCAAAATACACAGGAAAGGCAAAGTAGACTTTATCAGTGGAGGAATAAGGATGGTTGTTAAAGGAAGCTCTAAGTCAAATAAGACTTAAAGAACAGTATTAACAGTAGCTGGTCAGGAAAAGTTCTTTAGTTCTAAAGTTTACAACAACCGTAATGAGTTTAAATTCAATATCTGTGCAGGAGCAATAACAGCCAAAATTATGCAATGACTGCATGCAGTTAAATAAAAAAAAATCAGAAATAAATAAAACTGATTAATACTGCTATAAAAAATCTGAATGGGATAGCAGAGAGTTAAAGACTGTGGGTGCTGTGGATGCTATCTAAGGATATAATTTCAAAGATCCACCACAAATGCACAGCACCCATTACAAAGCAAGTCAGTAAGAATAATAAAAAAAAAGCTAATAAAAGCAAGAACACATCTTTCAAAAAAATTAAGTTGTGTCTCAAGGAGAGTAATAGAAAGAACCATAATATCTGCTTTATCTACAGAACCACAGTAAAGAAGACAAAAAATTACTATAAACAAATCTCTAGCAAACAAGTTAATAATAATAGTCTTTTAAAGACACATGGAGGCAAAGGGCTGAGAGGAACTGTGTAAAGCCAACCCAAAATTGAGATATAGAAGAAGTGCTCAGAGAAGATAAGATTGCAAATAGAAAATTTAACATATTTTTTTGTTTTCAGCGTAGAATAGCTGGGGAATTTTTCTGTCTTGGAACCCTTCTTTATGGGGGGCTCATGAGAAGGTTAAATTAGCTATGGAAGCAGTTACAGAATGAGCAGACACAACAGTAACACATCATTTGGACTAGCTGTTACATGCCCAAGAGCCTGAAGGATGAAATAAGTGAGCTACTATGATGTGTCATATTTTGTTTCAAACCACATGAAGGTTTGGAGGTGCTAATGTAACACTAATTTTTTTTCCCCAAAGATTTCTAGGGAGTTCAGGGGAGCTAAGGATGGGTATGACTGACATACACAGGGCAAAACTGTAGGAGCAGGATTCATGGACTCAGGGAGAATACCCCATAATGAAAAAAACTCAACACAGCTTTTCTAAATAAAGGTCATATTTTTCAACACTTTCTGAATTCTTTAAAGAGGTCAACACACAGGTAGATAGGTAGGGATGCATTCAAAACAAATGAAGGGAAGCTGTTGTGCAATATACGATTAATCTGTGCACCTCACTAAAACAGGATGCTGTGGACTCTGAAATTTTACATAAGTTTCAAAGCAATGGGGCAACTTGCTGTAAGAAAAATCCACTGAGCGTTATTAAATACAAAGACACCATTCTGGGATAAAAATCGTTAGAAACTGAGGAAACGTTCTGGAGTATTATTTGGCTTGCTCTTACATACACCCTCTAGATGTCAGTGTAAGAGACAGAAGGCAGGGCCAGGTGGATCTTTGTCTTAGCATGGTCATACTTACATGCTTGCAGAAATGCAATATATTTTCATACTGAGGAAAAGAAGAAGAATTTTTATATGAGGGAGAACTGTGAAGTTTCAGATGTGGTTTGGTACCTAAGGAGCATTTATAATACATAAAGTGGGATTACAATTCATGTGCAAGAAAGGAGATACAAAGTAAAAAGATAGCATGATCTTACTGCAAATTCACACAAATTTTCTAATATGAATTTGCCTTATTAACAACTTTTAGCATGTTGATAGTATAGTTATCAAGGCTTATGCTTGATTAGTGTCTGCATTTCAAAGGTACAGAATATACAAAACCAGTAAATTTAAGGAGAGCAGTGACAATCCTGCTAATCATATACAAATTATGAAACTTTTAAAATTAGCATTCTTCTGAAGAACCTCGTTTAAACTAATTGATATGAAATGTTAGAAACTTTCAGTGGATGATCACTAATTCGAAGCTGTGTTTTCAGGGACAGATATAATCTTCTGGGCCAAGACATGTAATAAATCTGTTTCTGATTATCACAACAACAATGCTTAGTATGAGCCAGGTCTGTTTTTGGAACCCGGAAGTCTCAGGTTGCAACCTTTTTGTCATTTTTAGATCATCCAGTTTCCCTTGACAAAATAGTATTTCCCAATTAATTTTTCAAGTGTAAATGAAATGAACTCTCACGCTCAGGCTGGTCCCATGGAATGATGACATATTTCCTCTTAAACATTCAAAACTCACTTTCAAATTGAGCTTTATATTACTTAAAAAAAAACCAGTATATTCAAATTTTTTTCATCATATATACTGTTCTTCTTCCTAGATCTCAATTCCTTATCTAAAGGATTTTTCACATTGATATTTTCAGTCATGCTTATTTGAAAATTAGTGCATCTGGAATACAACATACTCTTAGGAAATCTGGGTGGGTTGTCATTGACATCCGTGAGAGTAATGTTTACAGTGGTAGTACCAGCTAGTCCTCCCAGCTGTCCTCCCATGTCCTTGGCTTGGATTAGAACTTGATATTGTTCTTTCACTTCTCTGTCCATATTTGGCAAAGCTGTTCTTATTACACCTATGGGAAAATATGGGAAAGAGAAAGAACAAGTAAACAAATGGCTGTGATTGTCTACTACTACATTTTAATACCAGGTCTCTTGGACCAGGAATGGCACTCTTTCTAAAAGGTTGATAAGAGAGGAGTTCACAGAGAAACATGCAAATCACTCAACCTTTCGAAAAGTGTGCTTGTCAGCTATTCAACCATTCAAAATGACTGCTGTGTCTTTTCAACCAGGACATGAAGGGCTGAAAGAGAATGGTACATTTTCACTAGGGATGCAAATGGCATGAGAATAGGTTTACCACATCAGGACCGAAGAACACTGCATTGTGCAGAGAAGGGCAGTGTAGGAAGAGGTGGCAATGCATTTTAGAGACTGCATCTTCAGTTGTTTCCAACCAGTCGCTTGCCATCACAGTTAAGCTACTGTAGGCCAAGACAATATTCCTCCTGTACAGAAGGAGGTCTTTATTAGAAGACTCTCCTTTGCTTGAGAAAGTTTTCTTGATACAGTGAAAACTTTAAGAATTTCCTTAAAGAAATGTAATTGAAATATTGTGGTAAGACATTACCCAAATGACTCTTCAGTGATTTTGGAAAGCTGATGTCTAAATAGGTATGCCATAATCTCCCTTCTGATATGTTAAGGATGTATATGACAGAAAGAAGGCTTGTAGAGAGAGAGGCACTACTGATCATAGGATTAGCTGATGAGGCTGCAAAAAGCTATAAGGTTTCGGGCACTCAAGCCTTTCTCTTGAAACTAAATGTATAGGAGAAAATGCATTTCAAAATTTTACCAGCGCATATTACGTTGCAAAATACTATATATTCAAGCAAGAGTTTTCAGAAAATGGTTAGGTGCAGACTGATGAAGATAGAATGCACAACTGAAAAATAAACAAACTGGAAGCATGCTTCTCTTCTAAGTTATTATTGTTTTACAAAATATTATCTTCTAATATTAAATCACTTGGGTTTAAAAGTGGTCTTTTCCCCTTGATGTTATAATGGGTCTGGAACGATAAGAAACAAACTTTAAGGCTTATTATTATCTTTATAGCAACTAACTGCTGCTGTGTTAACAAGTAAGAATAAGACCATTAGTTTATAGTACTTGTTCAGAGTCTAGAAACAACTTTGACCTAAATCTGCTATTTCTGGAACCTATTAAAAATTCCCATAGAATTAAATTGTATAACAATTTCCTTTCTCTCCACTTGTAACACTGATGATGATAATGACAACATTAATAATACCTACTATTTTCTGCCTCAGCATGTTATATACTATACTGCGTAGATCTGGAATATGACTAGCAAATGCTTAAGAAAATTTAGATACTTCAACACTATCCTTTTGAGCTTTTGGAAACAACCAGTATTGTACAAAGTTTTGTTTGTTCCAGACGGAAATCTTGAATTGGAAAACTGTAAAAATTTGTTCATATTCATGTGATATTCACGAAAAAATCTTTTTGTAAATAGGATGAACATTACTAGGTTTCCTCTTGAATATCTTAATCCATATTTTTGCATTGTGGAGACCAAACATTTCGTAGTATTTCACAACATCCTTGCTCAGAACATCACTCCACAGAGGAAGGAGCTATGAGAATTAAATACTTCCCTTGTTATGCTAGCAAAACAAAATAACAGTAAGAAGAAAAAACTGAAATTAAGTAGATAGCAGGTTGTGAGCTGGAGATGCTGTTCATCTGATTGTTATACCTGAGTGGCTTTCTCAGTTAGAAATATTTCCTATGGTCTTCAGAAAATGAAGAATGGGATATCTTTCTAGTAGTAAAGTTCCCAGTCACCCACTGTTTACTCCCATCTGGAAGGATAAGGGCGTTCTATACATTTTTCTATAAAAAGTATTTGTCTCCAGAAAAACAAATGAATGAGAATAATTTTCATGCCTAGCAGTTCATAGACAATTTTCTCTTTTCTATCTACTCTATTTCAAAAGCATAGAATAAAAACCTGAAAAACACTATTTCTACTAAAATTTCCAGTTCATATAGACAGAACAAAGGCGATTTATCTAACTAGCAAAATAGAAAAATACAATGGAAATAAAAATCCATGAGAAAGAAAGGACTACAAATTTTGGTATTCTAGCTTCAGCTCCACAAAGAATATTCAAACTTTAAATCAAAGGTGTATTTTAATGTAAAGGCCTTATGTGCATGTAACAGTGTTCTGTTTTTAAATCCTTGTACCTTAAGATTTTATAATAAAGATTGTTCAGCTCCAGAACTGAGTAACTTTGCTTTTTTTTTTCCTTTGCAAATGTCATCAATATCACATGTGCAGAAAAGTATGGTCTCAGTGAGACTGCTAAAATTTGAGAACAGTATGTATGGGACCTGGGCCAGAAGATATACTCTGCAAAGTTATTGAGACATAGTTCAACAGGAGATGATCCACTTATGTGGAAGAGAAAATACAGGTTCTGTGAAAAAATTGAATAAATATTAACATCAATAATCCTGCTGACACCAATTTGGATTTTGAGAATATAACTGAGGTCATAATATGGACTAGAATACTGAGTATAAGAAAAAATTTGAGACATCTAGCCATAAATAAGAATATTGATCTCATAAACAAATCAGAAAATTGTGTAGAAAGAAGTTTGTCAAAAGGACATTTCAGTAACAGAACAGGATGTACAGATGAAAGATAACAGAGGTTATCTGTCTGAAGAAAAGCTCCCTATGTTAAAGAAAACTCACATTAAAATCAGACAGCAATTCCATAGCATCAAAAAGGAACCCCCTTGTATAAGATTTGAGGCCTTAAAATGTGCTAGTCCAAAAGCTGCTCTCCAGCAGGGACTGAAATGTGTTTAACCTTCCTGCAATAAAAGCTAACTCTCCCACTTCCATATAGTTTGCTTACCTCCAGCAAAGCACTGCAAAAAATTAAGAGGTCACTAAAGAAGAGGAATAAAGCGGCAGCTGTGACATTCAGACCCATAAAGTTTAAAAACCATTTAAGTGTACTAGATTCACATCAGCGTATATATTTATCAACTATCAGGAATTATTTGAGAAAGAAATATGTGTAAAGTCATGTGAATGCCAAACACAATCTTTATTTCACATATAAAGTTATTGTCAGTGGTTTCACCATTACTGCTTTGCGATGAGATCTTGAGGTAGTAATAGAAATTTCCACAAACGTATCAGCTTTTGTGTGGTAGAAGCTAAAAATAAACAGAATGTTTGGAACTGTTTGGAAAGGAATAAAGAACAAAAATGTTACGATTAACCATTTCATAAATCCATATGAGCTGACTTCTTGAATACTGTGTGTGCTTTCTCATCCCGAGAAGAAGAAGGATGATCAGTGTTACTGAATGGCTTCTCTTTAAAGAAGTCTTCAATCTAAAAAAGAGGCAAGTAGGGGAGAACATGGGTCTATAAGGTCATGGGGAACTAATAAATAAGATTTAACTGTCCACTATCTCATACAATGCAAGTGTGAGGTATAAAATAAGTTAAGAGGTGTCATTTCAAACAAGCAGGAGGAGCTGGTTCTTCACCCAAAAAAACCTTTTGCTGTGGAATTTCTAGTCAATGGGCGTGCAGTTACTGTGTTGCTGGACAAGTCAACTCTGCTGGGAAGTGGACAAGTTATGGAGGAGAAATTCTTTCAGAGTTTTATTTATACGGACTCCGCTAATCACCCAGGAACTTCTTAAGGAAAAGTTGTTGAAGACTAGAAGAGTATTCAGGGGGTGCATCAATAAACAATGTTTCGTTTTATCCTTTGCTAGACCTGAGTAGGCCATCACTTTTGGAAACATGATACAGGGCAGCATGGACTTTTGGTCTGACCTAGTACAGATGTTCTTAAGTTTTTTAGATAATTGCAAGGGAATGTCTCAGAATTGTCACCAGAATGCAAGAAATGGCAAAAAAAACGCCAACAACAGAAACCCAGAAAATGCTTACCCATCTGCCAGCAGTTCTGAGTTTGTCTGTCATTTTGTACTCAAATGGCTTTCTTCCCTTTTCCTGTCAAAAACACTCTAGGCAGCTGTCTGGCAGTAAAACTCTGCAATGAAAAACTACTGTATCATCTCCTCAGTTATAGCATAAAGAATTGGAAATGCCAGAAGATCTGTAGTGCTGCCCAAGCCTTCTGGATTTTAGAGCAAATCATTAAGCAGCATCCTGTGCATTATTACTCACATACTGTTTGTCTCTACAGTCATTGTTAGACCCACAGGTAACTCTCATATCGTGACTATTCTAATGTAAGACACATTACAGCACATTATTGTTGCTCATAGGGGCGTGAATCTCTATGCTGTTTTCCTAGTACAGGATTTTAAGCTATGCTGGGCTTGCTGTTTCATGAATCTTCCTTTACAGCTGTGTCCATTCTTTTACCACCAAGGTCCACCTGAGTAACTCATTAAAGATATTAATAGACAAATGTGGAAACACTAGGTTTGTATGATGTTTCAGGGCTAGTAGGGTGCAGGCCATGATGGTCTACTTCCATGGTCCACTCACTACTCACTACTGAGTAATAGATGATAGATGAGAGCATACAATACAACATTTCAAAGTGCCACAGGAAAAAAAGTTCTTTTTCAAGTACTAATAACTTTTTTTTTTTTTTTTTTTTTTAAAAAAGTACTGGAACTCCAGTTGTGGCTTCAGTTAAGGTTTTTATTGACATTGAATCCCTCCCTATTCTTTATAAGACTGAAATTAAAAAAAAGTATAAAGGTAAACACTTTTTCCCCCCCTAGACACTTGAGGAAGTCCCACTTCAGTTTGAAAAGTAAAGTTTGCTCACTGCAAATTACAGTATGATCCCCTCCTAAATATAGCATGTGACAAAGGAATGCACCCATTGGAGATGGTGCACTAACAGCCTTATGAGGATCTCACTGCCAAACTATTGATTGATCAGGGATAAAGGCTCTCTAACACACAGTCTGACATTCAAGTACAGCTTCACTGGATGAAGAAACTATTTTCTGAAAGGGGCATATGGACAACTATCCCTGTAACACATTCAGGATGACACAACGCATGGCATTCACCACGTAGGTTATTGGCTCCTTAACTGAATTACTACATACAGAAATAAGAATGACATTCAGAATTATAGGACAAGATACCTAAGTAACTTGTTTTCTAGCCTCCCAAATACTTCAGCCTTTTTAAATGTATTATCCTTTTCTGCTCACACATCCAGTAACCTCAGACAAACATATTACACCCCAGGAAAAGGGGAGGGCAGGAGATGATTAGTTGGTTCCACATCCACAGGATGTTCCTCCATCTGGGACGGGGGACGGTGAGCAAGCAGCTACGTGGTGTTTACTGCTAGCCAGGGTCAAATCACAACAGTCTCAAATTAACTCTATATAGCAAAACAATCACTGTTAGAAAATTTCTAACTGTAAGTGCAGCAAGTAAAAATCCTGGGGAAAAAAGAATGTAGACCCAAGATACAAAACTGAATCATCAGTGAAAAAAATAAATAGAATACATGTAGCAGATAAAGCTTTAGCTATAAAAACATGGTAAAGCATAAAAAAAAAAATGTTCAGTATGTACATATTTTAGATATTCCAGGACTAGTTGGAGGAGCATATTTCTTTTCTTTGTACAACAGATTGTAATTCATTCAAAAACTAGTCAATACTCAAAACTGAATCATGTACAAAGTTACTCTACTGGCTTTTGGCCATAACAGCCCGGTCCATATTTATTCATTGACACTGCCCCTCATGAATCAAAATCAAAAGTTTAAATCTTCCACTGTTGCTGATAAATTATTCACCTGTCTTTGGATCAATGGAGAAATATGGTTGCCCCTGAAGAATGCTGTAAACCACTCTAGCGCTGTTTCCATAAGTGGGATCATCAGCATCTGTTGCCTTTACTTGAAGCACATATGCACCTGCAAAGAAACACAGGTAATCACATTTTCAGTATGGAGCAGTGACCAAGGATCTTTCAGACATATTAGTAGGATGGTCAGAGGGCTGGAGCACCTCCCCTGTGAGGACAGGCTGAGAGAGTTGGGATTGTTCATCCCCTATTGCATAATTTGTTTCCTAAGCCCTAGCAACAGCAGCTTATAACCAATCAATATCCTTTTTACAGAGCAGTGACCGTCTCCCCTTCTTTCCAAAATCACTATGACTAGTAAGTGGCTCCTGCTATACCACCAGCAGCAGCTTCCTCCAAGACAGAAATTATTTACCAAAGCAAAGATTTGCTGAAAGTGTGAGCCAAAATGAGTGCATTCATGGTGATAGTTGGAGTGGAGTTCTATTATTAGACTTCTACCATGCAGGCACCTACACTCATGCCAGGTACCTGCAGCTCGCTTTGCAGCCAAGGGATGGGCACAGGGAGCCTCGTAGCATGGGACTGCATGTACCAGTGATGCAGGGGTAGGCATGTGAAACACCACAGCTGAATCCATATCTGTGTCTAAGTTCTCAGAGAAAAATGTGACTTGCAAGGTGAAGGAAGCAGACAGAGGCTATCAGTGTGTCTGAAAATTTTGCCATTGACATAGGTGCCTGATGATCCCCACACAGACTAACTCTTAGTTGTCTAAAAATATTAGTTTATGTATTCTTAGGAACATGCTACAGGTAATTCAACCTTATTACACAAAAGAAATAAGAAATGGTGATTTATAAACTAAGTTTTACTAAGGGAGGCATTCAAAGTCCTATTTTAGCCTGATAAATAGAAGGCACTGAATATGAAAAATAATCCATTTCACAGTGATAGCCGTTTCAAGTGTATTAATTCATCCATCAGATCTTTTACAATACACAGATAATATGTAAAGCTTATATTTTTATGAGAGGTCAGGCATGTTTTTTAACGTGCCTCCAGTTATTTACTAAGTTAAATACCTGCCTCATGTTCTAAACAGGTTTTCTGAAATTGGTTTCTCATCCCTTCAGTATTATCAAGCATTGCCCATTGTATCTAACAAGCTTTATATTTTATTCCAAAGCATAAAACCAATCTACTTTTAAAAGCAGACTCTAATTATTTTTTTCCAGGCAAAATGCAGGGCACTGCAGCTGTAAATCTTTAATGCACAAAGGTAGTCATGGAGGATCACATTTACTATAGCTCATGACATTCTAATTAAAATATGTATTTACATTACTACATGGAGTAATCAAATGAACAAAAAAAATACAATATTTTTTGTTGTTTGGAAATACCCTATGTGACAGTCAGCATTTAAAAAGACTTATATTTAAAATTTTTGATGTGCAATCAACACATATTTGATGTAAGACATTATAAAATGCAGAAGAATGGAATTATGTGCTTAAGTAGTTATTTATGTTTTAGAAATAAAAGAAAAATAATGTTAAACCATTCATATAGCTCAAGGAAATGGTATGGAATTTTAATGAAGATTATATTTTCTTTCAAGTAATATAGACAATATTCAAGACAAAGATATTTAAATAGTTGTTTTAATCATAGCAAACATACTGGCCTGAATTTTTCTCTGGCTAAAGTCCAAAGGCAATCCAGCAATAATTACAAAAGAATGGGGCCCAAGATCTTTTAACTCGTTGGCCAAACTGACTATAATAGCACCAAAAACGCCTCATAGTTTCTATCAGAATGACTGGAGAGAACGACAGAAAGCCTAAGTTAATCCTGTAATGAGAAAGTTTATTAAATAGACAAGAATGTTTATGAAATTACTTCTAGAACTCTTAAAATGTTTTTCTTACAATCTTTCATTAGTAAAAATGCTACTTTGTTAAAATCAAAAGAATTTCTGAAAGAAGAGTATTCATTAAATCTCTTCCCATCCAAAAAGTACTAGAAATTTCAACATTTTCTGGTGCACCCAGTTTGATATTTTCAACATGCTTATGAATGACCAGTCAAAATTTATTAAAAAAAATTACTCAAAAATTCAGACAACCCCCATTTTCAAAATAGAATATTTAATTTATTGATTTTTTCCTGATTTTTTTTCTGATAAAATACTAAAATATCGACCTTTTGTACTCTTTCAGCCTGGAAAGAAGTTTTGCCATGACTGAAGCGTAGGTGGGGTATCTTGCTGCCTGTGGAGCTGTTGTTGGCTTCCAAAAAAACCAAACAGGAAACCTTAATTTCTTATATTTAGTTCACTGAACTGAAGGGCTTGACCAAGAATTCACAAAACTCAACTGGGACTAGATAAATTGGTTATTTCACTGTAGAGGAAAATAAGAGGATTCAAGTCTAGGAGAATACGATAACAGACTTATTTAGACACGAATCCTGCAAAAATAATGCATAGTCAATAGAATTGCAAAGACGAACGAAAAAGGAGGTTGCAATATGTCAAGTCTTTTCTCATTAAGATCAGCTTTCACTAGGTCTGCAAATCCCATTAAGCTTGGTAATAAATGCCAACATTCAGTTAAGTAGTGGCAATGCATTATTTTCCACAGAAAGTGAGGGGGATCTGCTTTGAGGTTTTGAAGAGGAACAGCAAGCTAGATAGGAGCAGTAAGGTTTGGGGGTAGTAGAGAAGGGAAGGGAAACTACAAATGAGAGCAGGACTTCAGCATGTTGTAAGTGTTCCACAGGCTCTGGCTGGAGCCTCTCCCCACTCCACATAGATCAGAGGTTCAGTCAGAGCAGGTCGCTCAGGCCCTTGTCCAGACAAATTTTGAGGATCTCCACTGCCAGAGATCCCACAACCTTTTTGGATGCTCCTATGGGATCCTGCCAAGCAGATTACTGAACAAGCTCAAGTCTCCTCTTTTGAAGTCCAGGACTGTGATTTTACCATTTGTCACGTTCACTTTTTTCCCTGTCTTTTGTTAGTAGGAAATGAATAAAAGACATAATATGTGAACTTGAATGAAATTTACTTTTTGTAATGGACTATCAGGGTAGCTTTACTCATGGTGAGTAAAGATTGAATACCAAATCTTCTGCCATAAGCTTTCTTTTTATTTTTTTTTTTTCCCAGCATGGTTTTCTCATAGAGTTAGAAGAGCTGTCATCACCTTGCTGTACAACCTCTCCACACCACATGTATGATTTTGTGGTTTTTCCACTGTGCTGGGAGATGTTGGTATCTAGTACTTTTGAAACAAGTTAGATGATTGTGCAAATATTTTTTATATGTGCAGGACAAAGGAGGGGTATACCCGCTGGCACAGAAACTCACTACTTTGCACAATATTCTTCCCAAACCATTCCCCGAATAGCACCTGGGCAACTTGAACAATGTTCATCCTCTTTTCAGAATTCAAGTAAAAACCTAATCAACATCTACCTTTCTTGTGGTTTTTTTTTTTTTTTAAGGGTAAAAAAAAAAAAAAAAGAAAAGTTAATTTATGACTCACTGCAGCACTACATTGCAATTCAGATCAGGAGTTCCCCTGTCTCAATAAATATTCTTCTGACCTGCCACTGGCAGTTTTAGCAAAGCTCCAGTACTGGGAGAACATGTGCATCTGTAAAGAGAGATGCTGACACTGCCCTTTTGGGGATTATTTTTTATAGAAGAAATTACCAATAATATCTTTTGAAGATATACTCCTGAAGCTGACTGCCACTAAAGTAATGTGAGGAAGGCATATTTTACTTGGAAAAGCCAGTTTCCAGTTTATGTATTCACAGCTGTGCAGCCCTGATAATAACACAAGCTTGCTGGCCCCATCAATATCTTGAATATTAGACAACATCAGGGAAGGACACTTTTCTCCTGTTTTGCATTCCAGACATCACGCTGAACATATATATGTTTTCTCTCAGCTGTCAGAAGCAGCCATGTCCACAGAAGCATTCCCTCTTGCAATTGATGACGAATGGCAGCTTTTTGCTGTGCTGGTAGCTAAAAGCAGCTGTTGCAAGTCTCAACATTTAGTGCATAATCATACCTATTTCTAGTATCTCCAGAACAACATTTGGGTTACAGTGGTGACAATCCAGGGAGTGTGTAAGCTGGCTTTGTTAAGCTGAACCACATACACACTGATTTCATCTGGAAAACAGTGCTTTAAGAGTTCAGGGTTTTTTCCTGGTAAACTGGAAGACATGACATTGTGAAGTAGAAAGACATCTTTTTTCTTCTTCTTTATTCCATAAGTGTAGAACTAAGATTTTAGAAAGAGTCAGCACATTTTATTGCCCACAATGTTTTTGTCTCTTAAAGTCTTTCTTGCTAATTAATTAACAGATGCATTTCTCCTGGCCATCCCTGTCTCCCTCATGGATGATGAGGGTAAAGAGGGGAAACCAACAGCTGTGGGTTTTTTAGATAATTATTTAGCTTGGAAATCAGCAAAACAATTATTTTCTTTTCCTTTTTTTTTTTTTTTTTTTTCTCCTACCCTCATCTGTTGGGGTCAGCCAAAGTTAAGCCACTAAGGGCACACAATCTGGCTAAGCTAATAATGACTCTGTTAGCAGTGAATATTCATTTAATTTATTTATTTTTATTAATTTAGGCTATTTATTTATTTATCAAGACATCCAGCTGCTTACACAGTCCCAAGGCTGTGATAATGTTTACAGAGGTTGCACTTCTGAAGAAAACAAGGCGCTTGAAATAGCAGCTAATGGTCTATACCCAAAATGCACATAAAGGAGTAGCCTAGTAAAGTAACTGCTGGAAATAATGTACAAGGAGCTGCACAAGAACCAATTAGCAAATACTAAGCTTAATATCCATCCATTTGAGAAATACATCTCCTGAGAGTGGCTTTTCCTTTCACTTTTCAAGTCTGTGGATTGTTTTTCTCTTACCAGTGTGACAGAAGAGCCTCTCATATATATGAAATAGAAAAAAATGGCTTTGACTTTTGCTTTTATCATCTTTATAACTTGATAACTTTTTAGCCTATGACTCAACAGGGACTTAATTTTGCCAGCATACCCATTGTGGTTAGGATGTGAGAGATAAAAATAAGCAGTATGCCCTCTAACAATGATAGCTATGCTGGCAAAACCCCCACTGTAGATGTCTCTCTGCTGATAAAAGCATACTTTCATTGGTTTAGTTTACATTTTGCAGGGAGATAGTGTATGCTCTATTAGAAGAAAGAACCTTTCTGATATCAAATGCCATGTCTGAACTAGAAGACTTTGCCAAAAACACTGTATGAAATTAGATATGCCCTGGGAAGTAAATATTTTCTTCAATGGAATTGTGAAATAATAGATGTTCGCCATAACTGATGCACTGAAATCTTAAGGGTTTGAGGACAAAAGAGTCAACCCCCGAATAACAGCACATAGCTTCCTACATCAACATCCACCTACATTAACCTTCAGAGGTGGTTTCTGCCTTACCAAGCATGTCACTGTTTCAAGATACTGCAGGCAGAGTTTTTCTCAGCATCAGGAAAGGCAGTGACTGAAGCAGAAGACTGGAACAAGGAGATCTTGTCCTGCTCTTATTAACCAGACTGTTGGTCAACAAAGTCTTTCACTATTTCTTAGATTCTCCATGATTAAAAGTAAACACAAAGCTTCACACTTAACAGTGGTTGATGCTGTTCTGAGACAGTTCAACGTGCGACGATTTTTGGTGCTCTGTAGTGTGGTGATAAAGAAAGGTCTTCTATTATATCACTGGTCATGATATAATAGTAGAAATAATTTAAAAATTTAGCATTGGTCAGAACACTGGACTATCCCAATCTAAGACACATAAAGCAGTATATCTCATTCTTCAAATTATTTAAAGTCATATCTTTGAAGGAATTATGGACTACAGTCAAGAAGTCAAACAACAATCTTAAGAGCTGACAATTACAAAATATTGCTTACTTGGGATGACACTTTATGGTATTTTAGAAGGCATTTTTTAATTTATGGCTGTGCAAATATCTGGTTTTCTTTTTGTCTTGTTAAAACCTGAAAGACAAAGCTTGAATTTTGGAACAAACAAAAAAATCTTGAGCAAAAGCATGATTTTATGTTAATTTTATCCATTCCAATACATGTAAAACATTTCAGTTTTGAGCATGGTAAACAGGCAAGAGCAAGAAAGCTTTTGTTTCCAGGTTGGCAAGAGGAATGGAACAGACATATGCTGTGAGAGTTCTCAATGCAGCTGCCTTTTTTGGCCTAAGGAAGTTCAAATTTGTACTGCCCACATTTCTGGGAAATTCTGTATGTGTGACTGCTTATGAACTTTCACATTTCATTTATTTAATTATTCACAAGACCTTTTTTCTAAGATAGATTCCTGACTCTCATGCAATTTTTTCCTTCTCAGTTTCTTCTATACAAGCACTGCTGATCAATGAAAATCTAAGTGTTTTCAGCAACATGAAACAATATTAACAAGTGAACCTGAAAGACATCCATTTACCTACAACTGTTGGAATAAGACCAGTGCTAGCAGCGAAACGGAAACAAGTTGGGTCTTTGACATAAATTGGACTGTTGCGTTAAAACCTTTCTAGAACATTTTTGTGTGTATAATCAGCTAACCGCCAAACAGTTTCATAATACCCGCAACTGAGCTTTTGAGTGAATGAACTCTTCACTAACACAGAAAAAAAAAGCCTTTAGTAACACTCTTGTCCTTTGTGACTCAGTTTTAATCTCTTAAGAGAGATTCAAGGCAGTGCTGTGATTCCAGCATAAACCACTACTGTGGAAAGTAAGAAACGTGATGGAGGATATGGGGTGAGGGGACGGGATGTTGAAGTACTGGATGAAACGTCCTCCTCCTCCTCTGTTTAGAGAAGACTACTACTCTAAGATTACTCTATTTTAAAATTGGTACCATTTTCATCAGTGTGTCCTAATTGTGGATGCTGAAGTTTTACGATTTAACTTCAGGCACTTGTGATTTCAATCTCATCACTCTAAAAGTTAATGTACCTGCTCACCCCAAAATGCAGACAGTGTTCATCTATCAACTAAATTTTCATTCATCCTGTACCTAAAAATTAATGCCTGAATCCTCATGAGATAGCCTGTGTTACTGACTGAGTGGATTGTGGCTGCAAAACTTCAAACTGGAATTGTGCCCGATCTGGTTGACGAGTCCTGGTGTCATTCTAGGTGATACTGAAGGCTGTATTCACATATGTGCCAGTTTTCCCTGTGTGTCAAGGGTAAATAAAAAGCCCAGACCTCCACTCTTAAAACTCCTTCTTTTAGCCTTGACCGGTAAACAAAACTTTCTCATAAACTAGTGTAGAAGAGTGTATCTTCTGGCAAAATGTAATTATACTCCTTATCTTTTTCCCAGTTAAGAATATTTCAGTTCATGTTATTCTGCACTTCCCATTGTAAAGCCTTGTTTGGGAAAGATAAGATCCTGTTCATCCTAAAATTAGCAACAAAGCTCTCATTACTTTGGACAGTGAAGGACCATACATTTAGATATCCCTGTTTCTTTGAAATTTGAAATCCATCTAGCTCTATCACTCTAGACAAAACCAGATGTTTCCTGTCATGTTGATACTTATCCAGAGAAATGGGATTAAAATAAAAATTTTCAGAATTCATTTTGTGAGCTATTGACTGATTTTGAGCAGCCTTTCTCTTGGAAATATTGACTCAAAACATCGCTTGCATGATTCTGCAACCATTCTTTTCTTCACATCATTAACAATGTAGACAATACATTCTGTATCCAAAATACATGATGGAACTCTTTGGGAATTCAAAATGTAAAACCTCCTGTCACCTCACAGAGATACCTCTGATTATCAATGTATACAAGAAATCCAACTTCAAAATAATTTATTCCTTTTGCAAAGTAGCATGCCTTTGAGAAGTAACATTAAACAAATTTTTAAAAAAATATCTTTAAATTCAGAAGCATATAAGAAGATTTTATGTGTGTTTTCTTTTTTACAGAAATAATTTCTCTGACTTACTAGATCAGCTTGTAGATTTTTAGCACTTCAAAAAACATGGCAGTCAGGGTTTGTTTACTAAATGCACTTGAAACTGACTCATACCACAGTTAAAAAGTTTTAGAAATGTACCCCAACCTGCAGGAATATCACAGATGCTAGAGGAGACAAAAAAAAAAAATCCCAAACCTTTAATAATTTTGTATTTATGTCCTAAATCTAAATTTTTTTAGCATCATTTTCTTCCCCAGGAGTCACAATCACATTTGTCAACTTAACTGATCCCTGAAATGAGATACAAATTATTCAACAGTATGATAAAAATAACAAGCTTCAGGCATAAGACAGCAGTTGTGTTTAGTATTCATTTTTGTTTTATTAACTACTAGAGACCTATGGCAAATGAGTTCATTCTGAATATTACATAGGATCATACTGTAGTTAAAGCAGTCCTTTATTCCTGCAGCAGAATACCTTAGGGGTTTTTGTTTGCTTGTTTGTTTGTTTGGGGTTTTTTGTTGTTTTTTTGGGGGGGAGGTTGTTTGTTTTTTTGTTTCGTTTTGGGGGTTTTTTTTACAGGTCTGGACACATTGCAGCTGCAGTAAGAGGTGCTCAAACTTCCGGCATCTGAAAGCAATAAGACCTCAGTTTTCCTCTCAAACTTATAAAGGCTTCTGGTCATGGGACAAGTTACTGTCTAACAGCAAAACCAAACCCAAAACAATTACAATGCCAGGTCTTCCATCCAGCTGCTAAAATATTCTCTCCTCTTTAGAGAACAGTGATATCTTACCTAGATTGACTGCAGGTCGTCTTCTTGGCTGCTGAGAAGACTTGTACCTTTTGCAATTTCGAGAGACCACAGTCTCCAGCTGCCATATTCCCATTCTCATAGACTCTAGCTGTCAAGTCACACACAGCAAAGTGGGAGAACACAGCAGAGCATAAGCAAGCCAGGAGGTTCCTGGAGTGCACTGATGATAACTTCCTTCTTCAAGTGCTAGAGGACCTAACAAGGAGAGGTGCCATGATGAACATTGTTCTCACCAACAAGGAAGGACTGGTGGGGAATGCAAAGCTCAAGGGCAGCCTGGGCTGCAATGGCCATGAGATGGTGGAGTTCGAGATACATCTGGAGGGAAGAGGGGCCCAAGAAAGCTGGCTAATATTCAAGGATCAGCTCCTCCGGGCTCAGGAGTGAGGCATCCCAACAAAGAGGAAGTCAGGCAAAAATGCCAGAAGGCCTGCGTGGATGAACAAGGAACTCCTAGACAAACACAAAAAGGAAGCCTACAGAGGATGGAAGCAAGGACAGGTAACCTGGGAGGAATACAGAGAAATTGTATGAGCAGCCAGGGATTAGATTAGGAAAGCTAAAGCCCCAAGTCGGGATGGTTAGAAGGCTGGAGCACCTCCCCCTATGAGGACAAGCTGAGAGAGTTGGGTTTGTTCAGCCTGGAGAAGAGAAGGCTCCAAGGAGACCTTATAGCAGCCTTCCAGTACCTAAAGGGGGCCTACAGGAGAGATGGGGAGGCACTCTTAATCAGGGAGTGTAGTGATAGGGTAAGGGGTAACGATTTTAAGCTGAAAGAGGGTGGATTTAGATTAGGTATTAGGAAGAAATTTTTTCCTGTGAGGATGGTGAGATACTGGAACAGGTTGCCCAGGGAAGTTGTGGATGCCCCATCCCTGGATGTGTTCAAGGCCAGGCTGGATGAGGCTTTGAGTAACCTGGTCTAGTGGGAGGGGTCCCTGCCCCTGGCAGGGGGGGTGAAAATAAATGATCTTTAAAAAAATCCCCAAATTTATATATTGCTTTGATTTCCTGTACTCCATTACTGTGTTCAGAAATATTTATTTCGTAGAATTATAGAAACATTTCTTTACATGCTGCTTATAGCTCTGAACAGATAGTTCAAGTAAACACTTAATAAGCTGTTTTAGTTTCTGAGTTATTTTGTTTGTTCTCTTTAATATTCACATGACATTTATTGTGCAAGAAATAACCATAATCTTCCACAATGGACAATTGTGACAACTATATTTTTAGTCGTTATTACCTTTTATCTCCTCTTATTTAATTTTTAGCACTTCTTACAAAATATTCAGTTTTATGATAAAGGAACAACCTCTAAATTGTGACTGTAACTTCCATTAGAATTTTTTTTCCATCTTTTCCAAAGATAAAATCCACTAGATGGTGCCATTCTCCTAGCAGGATACAGAATTTGGTCCATGAAAACTCTCAAATTATTATTTTTTATTTATTTACACAATTGCTAGAAAAGAAACTGTAAGTTTCTCACCTTTTTTAGCCTAATGATCCCCTAGCCAGAAAAAGGAAAATTGATAACTTCAAATTTTAAATTTTAAAAAGTAAAACTAGTAAGAAAAATAAGTCATACTAGTTCCTAGGTATATGGGGACCAAGTCAAATCTACTGAAGCTGACTGATTTTTTTTCAGCTCAGTGCTGGTTTCTACAACAGATTGTTTTAGTACACTTCTAGAACACCTTTTGTCTTTTGAAATCGGACTAAAATAACAGGAACCACAACAGTGTTGAAAAATTGATACAGGTATTATGGCACTAATTCAAAATTTTACTGAATCTGACTTCTACCTCCACTACGTTTGTTTTTATTGACTGTGGTTCTTTTCCATATCTCAGATTTTGGGAAGTATGAAAGCATTCAAAGACTTTTTTTTTTTTTTTTTTTTTAATTTGCCCTCAACGGAATTAGTTGCTGCTCCTAGACTGTGATGCAGGGGCTGCCTTATGCCTTCATTATTCCTCCTTTTCACTGAAGGAATGCATTTAATCAAAGACCAAGGGCAGTGCAAGAAAGGTTAAGCAGGAGCACCCTTGAAGTAAGTCCTCTGTCAACACAGAAGGAATGGAAGATGTCAGATAGCTTGACATGGAACATTATGGTCATTATGATACTCTGAACCAGATGGTAATTTTGAGAAATCCTTTGTCTTATACCAATGCCCTTGTGACAAGATAACCATCTCTTTATTCAGAGTTTCTTAAATAAACAAGAGAAAATTCTGTGGTTTAGACCAAAATAAAGCCATTGAAGTTACCTGTTTTTACCTTTTTTCAATTTCCTGACTTGTTACCGGCTATGATTAATGAGTGATGTTCATAGGGATTGTGGTATGAACAACCAAGGAATTCTTCTGACAGAAAGCCACACATGCTAAGGACTCCACACAGATATTACTGATGATCTGGGGCAGGACTCACTTAAAGGGATACCTCCATCAACAGCATTGCAAGTAGATATCTGAAATTACATGTTTATTTAAACGCTTCCCCCCCTCACCCCCCAGTATTTGCACACTTTATTTTCTTACTTGGATTCCTTCAACTATACATGGCCACTTGAATGACATCATTCTAATGATGCCTCATTTTTCACCCTTTTCATTTCCTGATTATAATGCACTGAAAGAAACATTTATATTCCCATCATGACAAGGAAATATTCAAACAAGTGTGCAAAAATTTCTTCTTTTTGTTCTCTCATCCCCTTGTAATAAGAAATTTGTGACTTCCTACATAAGAAGCTATGGAACAGATTAAATTATCCCTTTTTTTAGTATAGCAAGCAAGAAAGCTATGTGACAGTAGGACAGATTTACTTATGTGCAAGCTCATGAAAGGAAAACTGAAAATTACGAGTGTGTTTGCATTATTACTATGTAAGTCATACGCTAGCTAGAAAAACACTTCTAGTCAGACCTGAGCCCTAGTTTGAAAGCAGAAGCATGAAATGATGAGCTTTCAAAATCCTTGGTCCCTTACATATGAAACATAGGAACTGCACAGTCCGTACCGCTATTTATTAAACCACATAGGGCCGTTCACAGTTTTTTGCAGGATAAAGAATTACAAATACCACCTCTTAGAGGCAGCAGCACTAAGGAAACAAGCTATTCCTCCTTTGCACTAAGCTAGTTTAATTGTATGTTAGTAAAACAAGCAACTTAAAGATTTCCTCCTTTTGATACAATGAAGTTTCTTCTACAGATGCAATCCCTCTTCACCAAATATGAAGTCAGAGGTTCTGTTCTAGGTAATTTATTGTGGTTTCTCTGGGCTCAAGGTTTGGTAAAGCCAAAGCTCATGCAATTATCTCTACAGCTGATTGTTGGCACACTTGTTTTATTTTGCTTGGTACACAGAAGAGAAAGCTATTGGTTTACCTTTGGCAAGCTACAGGTATGCCAACATACGGTATTTGAGAAAGCCTTACCAAATCACACTTTCCTGTATGTACATTTAACGACACACTTCCGTCTCTTTACCACAGGAAAAAGAAAGACATCTGTAAGAGATACCAGGACTGCAGAAAGGCTGGGAAGCCTTTTGTCCCTCCTTTTCAGTATGTTTCTAGGTCTTAATTCCCAATCACTCCCATTCACTCCCCAGGGATAAAGCTCTGGGTCTGCTAACCAGTAGCTATTAGCACCTTATTGCAGAGCCACTCTGAGGACAGAAAAACAGGCAGCTACTCAGGGCAACAGAGCACAAGGAGTGGCAAACAGTCATGGCCTGCAACCTGCTGCATCCGCTGCCCATTTGGTCAGCAGTTTCTGTTCTCTGCTGTTTCTGTGTGTGCTTTATCGGCTGCTACCCGCACTGGCCTCCCGAGCAACGCAGGAATTCAACTTCCAGGACGTATAGAGCAGCTGGCTATTGCAAAAGGGCTAACTGAATAAAGCCTCCGCAGATGTTACCCAGGAACTAAATGGGCAGGTCTTTACTTTCTTCCCAGCACTCTGCAGTCATTAACCAATACCAAAAAGTACTGTGCAACTTAAATATTGCATTAAAAATACTTATATACTGAATGTGTTTTAAGGTTTCATTTAAAAAGAACAAAACAATTATAGGAGTCTGAGTCTAATTTTATGTTAAATTTAAAAATACTTCACTCCTGCACTTGACTTTATTTTTATTTTCTCTTTAATCAGTGCACATCTGAATTTTATCAAACCAAAAGTAAACACAAAAGACAATCTACCAAAGATGTAATGTGCTGTGCCTCTTTTCTCTGCTTACTTCACATGCTGAGCAAGAATTTTTGCTTTCAGTTCCTTGAATTTTTAGGTAATTATATGATTATATGCCACTTCAGTTTCCTTTTGTTATTACACATTTGATTTTAAAAATTCTCTAGGCAAAATTCTGTTCTCAGTTACACACATGCAGCCCCACTTAAGTCACTAATTACCATTTGATCAGATAAGTAACTTATTCTTAGATAAGAATGAGAGCAAGGGCAGGAATAAAAAGGACTCAGAGCACAAAATAATAGGCAGACTAGCAGAGATAATTTAATAATACAGACATAACTGCAGCTGAATGTGAATATTCTCTTCTCCTTCCTTTGATTTTGTGAGTTAACATCCATTTAAGATCAGTGACATGTACATGTTTTGTCAGTTGCATTTAAAAGACAAAGGGAAAATTGTGTTCAGTTATAATTACATTTATAAAGACCATGCTGGTTTTTAAGTTTTCACTATTGTTATTTGTGGAAGGTACTAAATACTCTCAGAGCAGAAGGATGGAAGGTCAGTTAAAACACTAGACAGGCCAAAACCCAAACCCTAGGAGTATAATCCCCACAAACAGCAGAAGTAACAGTGGAAGCAGTGATGCAAACAGATTACATTCATTGCTTCCACGAACTCCTCTATCCCTGAACTAAATTACCTAAAACTACCCAGGTAGTTAGGTCTATACAGCTTAATGTCTTCCTGCCTTGTGGTGAATGACAGCTTGGTTAGGTTGTAAAAGCAGAAAAGCCACAACATCAACATAAGCAACCCCAGGCAGAGAGCACACTGCTTTGGTTAAACTACTTTTGATG